GCTCGTAGTAGCACAAAGCACATACTAGATTGTTGAGCTTCGAGTCAATCTCTTCCGACGTAAGCTTTTTACTCAGCTGCGTCTTTCTCAATAGAAGGTCACAATAATTGGCAAGTAGCTCCGGACATTTCGATTCTACTGCCGTATTTCGACTGCAAAACTAGATTAAATAACAACAGAAACGGCAAAAATTCACAGAATGAGCATACCTCTTTTTTCCTAATGGTAACTCCATTCTGAAGATAGTCGTATCATTGACGAGAGCGCGGAATGCCTCAAATGTGGATCTATCTCAAGGAAAATGAGTGTAACTACTTCATGATTCAGTTTTCCGATTACAGATGAGGAACAATCAATTCAACCGGGTCAAACGGAAGCCGAAAGCCTACTACAGATAGTAGCAATAACAGATTCATCCCACGAAAAATGAAGTTCACATAAAATACATAGTACGAAAAGTGTTAGGCAAAGGGAGAAAGCGTATTTTCAGCTCAGAGCTCGATAAAGTGCGAAACCTGCAAAATCGCACCAACCTTATCTCTCGCCGTTAACAACCGAGCATCATCGTAGAAACCTTCTTTGACTAGGGTGCTAAATCGATCGAACATACTTAGCAATTGTGATATGTACTTTTCAGGATCCTGCAATGTTCATAACAATCATTACTATTCCGCGGTACCATGTTCCTAGCAGCTTACCGTCGTAATCGTCAGCGCATTCTCCTTCATGTCGTCTATTCCCTCGCCACGAATATGATTATCAACCGCTTTGATCACAACTTCTATACCGGTAGGAGTCCACTTTATCAATCGATATAACATACGTAGCTCTGAAACATCCACAGACAATGGATTACGCATGACCACGCCAAACCGATATGTCTATTGAAATTAAATCATTGAACACGAATATGTAGTTCGTATCACCATTGAACCTAACGTCATATGTGGAACCATCGCTTGTGAGCGCATTAAGTCACGGGAATGCGACGGTTAAGCATGCTTGACGCGAACTTAAGCTAACAATAAGTTTACGTTTTAGTTCCGTATGACGTCGAAAGTAGTGGATGTGAGTCAAGGTCCACGTAAAAAGTTAACACGTTTACGTTTCATGTACATAAGAGCCAGCTTTTCACAAAAGAGAGTAGTAGTTAGTAAGGACAATTTGATAAGCGAGCTTCACATTCAGCGAAATAATGGTAAATTGTGTCCACTGAAGTCAATGAAAGCGGTACAAAAAAAAGTTGGGGAAAAAAAATGAAAAGAACACTCGATTAAAAAGCTGGTAGATCTTGGAGAAAAACGGCTCAACTCACTTTCAACGTCATTCTTGGCAATTAACGATGGACATTCGGCAAGAATTTGGTCTTCAAACTCAACAACGAGAACTTGCACACAACTCTCAACCAGCTGAAAACCATGAGACCGACAATATAAAAAACATTATATTAAATATCGTATATGAGAAATAGACGAAAGAAATCAATAAACAACAACTAAGGGATGGAAGAAAGCAACATGAAGATAGACCTTACCCTATCAACACTTTCGCGATTGGGGTTCAGGTACTTTCTTGCTCGCTGCTCTTCCTCCTCAAGCATTCGATCGGCATAAGACATATAGTTGATCACACCGTTTTCTGCCAGATACTTAAAAAAAAACACAACAATTGAATACATATAAATATTCAATGAGTTATTTGAATCAGATAGAACTGAGAAATTACCTGCGCTGCTCGTTTCTTGTAATACGCGACAGTCTCTTCAACAAATTCTCGTTCAAAGTGCTTTCGGTACTGTTCAAGAACGTCTTCGTAATAGCAGTCCCGTTGGTCGTATAAAGCCACTGAGCGTTACATATACTGTGAGTATTGTGGGTGATTGCAAGGAAACTTGTTAAAAACATCATAATGTAGAGAAAAAGACAATTCATAAAATATGACCCCTATCCGTCATCTTCCCCTCACTAAAACGTTTCCCTAATTTAAAAAAAAGTAGCAATAAAAGTTACCATATTAAAAAAGGAGAACAAAGAGTGATAAAACGAGAAAAAAACATCTTTTCCTCACCCCAACTTTCTCGTACTCCAATGACAAGATGTGCATCAACTGCTTCGCCATTACGCTCTGCTTCAACAAGACGAAGAGCCGCTGAGAGAAGCTTCAAGCTGATGTGTTGAAAAACAACTTTCTTCCATGTTTCTAGCATCTCCTGAAAAGCACTTCATCGTGAATTCCAGCACAATCTAAATTGAATGAGAGAATCCCAGTAATCTAAGTGCACTATGCAATTTTCACATAACCAAGATGTTAATAGGAAAATGTGACAAATCAAACGTTTCCAGATGGAGCTGGCCAGACTGAAAAAGCGGGGCAGAAAGCGCACCGAGAATGCAGCGACAAACAGCAGCAGAAGATCTAAGCTAACCTCCCGAACAGTTTTACTTCGGTACTGCCTTGGAGTACGAGATTCGCTGCCAGGTGGAAGAGGGGCTGGAGGAGCGGTTTCCGGATCAATTGCCTATAAACGGAAATAGGGTCAAAAGCTAAAGGGTGAAAAATAAGGGCAATACGTCTGACTATAAAAGTTGTTTAATTCTTCAAGATTTACCATGAACGGCAGCGGAAGAATTCCGGTTTGTTCATGAAACTTAGTCCACTCATTTATGTAGGCTCTAAGCAAAGCCTGGTCACCACGCTCGATATGACAGTTGATACGCTGAAATGAAAACGAAGCTTTCATGAGAAAAACTGTAAGCAAATGCCCCAAAAAAAGCTTGAACTCGTAGGAAGTTTTTATGAACTAAATTGCCAAACAATACAGAAGATCGATTTCTTGCAAAAAGCACTGCAATCGAAACTTATGAACAGCGAATCCAACAAAAAGAAACTGACAGTAGTCAACGACGTAAGCAAACCAGCCCTTTTGGCGCTTCGGCTGGGACCGTTATGCTGAATGTTGGGGAAGGGATGGAGTCCCCCGACGGTGGACGGACCACTTCAACTCGGTCCTTAGAACCCGCCACAATTTGGTGCTTACCTCAGAACTAAGCCTTAAAGAGAGGACGGGTCCGTCCCCTCTCCAAGGCTTAGTCCTGGGGTGAGCAAACCAGCCCTTCTGGCGGAGCTGCTGGACCAGCTGCACCACTTGCGTCAGTACTCTCCTATCGTACCAACCGAGTTGAAGTAAACCGTCGACCGTTGGGGACCCCATCCCCTCCCCAACATTCAGCATACGGTCCCAGCCGAAACGCCAAAAGGGCTGGTTTGCTTACCTCCGTAGTAAAGGCCCGCGCGTTCTATGGATGATTTTTTTCAATTGGGTCGGAAAAGGAAGAAAAGTCTAGACAGTGCTCAGTCAAGAAGTGGGCTGCTGCCATCAAACTGCACCCCCATTCGAGCACCTGTTCACTAACCTAATGCCTCAGTCATGGTTTAGTCGGGACCGATTTCTATCCCACAATTGAACGATACGTGTGGATCGTCCGGCTCATCCCACTGTTGCGATCGTATGTTTTACGTTACCTGCCCCACATAGTTGTGCGATCAGACATAGGACTGACTAAACGTAAACTGCACCCTATGACGTTTAGCGTTTCAAATAATTCTATTTGGTTCACAAATAACTCTTTTATTGCATACAACCAGAGGCCATAACCACAGCGAACAGCACAACAGGTGCAGTTTTTTCAAACACGAACCTCTCTAGCCATTCTTACGTATTCCTTCACGTTGTAATCGATCGCGGCATGGAGCTTCTTCTTCCCGTCGTCCACCCACGAATGGATTTTGTACACAGCAAGGAACAAATCTTGCCATTCTAACTGGGTTACTCTCTGAAAGAAGCAGAAACATGCGCCGCCGTTAAAAAAGCCTTGTAGTTTATCTAGTGCAAAGAAAATTTCGCTAGAAAAACAATGAAAGAAGGGGAAGTCAACTGACTTCCTGTGTTATCAAAGCCAACACAATCTTATGGATCTTGGCCCATTCGTCGTCAAAATTCAGAGTGTTCCGACCTGCACCCTGGCAAAAAGATAGACTGAAGACTGTTTCCCTGTCGCAAACACAAGGAATGGAATCACTTAATGTTTTGGTCGAAAGCCAGTGTTTTGCCAACGCTTTTTGGGATGTCGGGGGCTGAATTAGGCAAAACTCGACCGAGTAGAGATCATGTAGCGGCGCTCACATTGTAGGGCTCGGCCTACTCACAAATGACATTTGAGTAAGCAACAAAAGTAGCGACGCATTCTGGCTCCGGTTGTGGAAGGAGCATACCGACTTTTGACGTTGTGTTATCACCCCAAACAATAATGGTGACACACCCGGGCGTGGTTCACTAGAACAAAAAGCGAATTTTTTCGGGTTTCGCAGCGCGAAACACGGGTGGTCTCATCCATTAAAGGGGGCATGTGGTGGTGTGACAGTTCTTGCCGGCTACAGAATTTCCAATTTTTGCAAGGAGAGGAATCCCCGGGGTGCGTGAACCATTCTTTACAGCCCTACCGCTGTACTTCCCTCCCTAGAAAAAATGAGTACTGTCGCACACCATGCCTCCTTACTGCGATGAACGGGGGCGAGGGGAGGGGGCGGGGGGGGTGGCGACCCAAACACTGTTCGCTGTGCGAGGGAACTCTCAGGTCATTTGGTGAATCACGCGTGGCTCCTGGAGGTTCCGTGGCGAAAAAGTCGCTTGCCTGTTTCTATTGAGCCACACTCCTGACACATTCGCTCGAAAGCTTATCGGTGCTATGCAAGGGGAGGGCAGCAACCCAGTTGGCAATGCCACTCGCCCTGGCTCATGAATTCCCCGATTCTCGTGACAGTATCGTAGCGAGCAGCAGATCCACATTCATACATTTCCGTTCAAAAAATGCGGCGTGCCCACCCTACTTGTATAGCACCTTCATCTCAGTGGCCCAATATTGTTTTCCCAAGAGTCCTACTCCAATCGACATAAGCTGCCCCTTCTCCACTAACTTATATTGTGCACCTGAACTTCTGACAAACAAAAAAAAACAGTAAAATCAACCGGATTTTTCTTCTTGAAAGGAAAAAAATCGCAGCAACCGAGGAAAACAAGGTCACAGGGGAAAAATAAGGTTCCTGAAAATTAATCAAACTTACCCTTAGCATAGACGCCATAAATTTGACGCGTATTCGTTTGATGTAGTGTCGGAAACGTTTCAACTGAATTTTGACACGCGAATAGGTTGCCCAGCACAACCTAAACGAATTTTAGCGCCAGTCTAGAATAGATGTCGGTCGTCGTCAGTCGAATACATCCAGCTTCAGTTTGTCAAGATCGAATCGAATAAATACAAGCAGAAGCGTCAAGTCGAAGACCAACACTGGCGAACTTCTTTCGATCCGCTGACTTATGACAGCTTTTGCGATAAGAACAAACGACGAATGAAGGGATTAGAGCGCGATAACTACAGGTCCTTGGTCGTTCAGGCTTCATTCATGGCCTTGGTCAAACCGGAGAGCCAAAGCACTCACGAAAAAGATTAGATACCTTTTATTTCGAAAAACGAGAAGAGCGTCGAGTGCAGACCACACTCACAAATGACAAAAAAAGAAAAAGCCTTTTTTTCTTGGCCGTCGTCACTTGTGGTGTGTGGTCTGCACTCGGCGCTCTTCTCGTTCTCGGAAATAGAGGGTACGCATCGATTAAGTGTATCGAAGAAGCAGCGAATCCTGGCCAGTAGGTTCGCCAATTCCTTTTCTATGATTCTTCAGTTTGGCATATGGGAAGGAATCTCAAGAGCTACGATGCCATACATTTCAAATGTGCGAGGGGGTGGGGGGGGGGGAGCAGGCAATAGGAGAGAGGGGAGAATTGTGGGGAATATACAGTTCCCTAGGTGCATGAACACAGTTCATTGTCCGGAAAGGAAACTGGTTGATTCACAACAATGGGGCAATCTGTGGCGTCAAAATAGCACTTTACAAACCAGTAAACAAACAATAACAGCTAGGGCGCTCATGTCGTTGGGGGGAGGGGGGGGGGAGTGGAGGGGAACATTCAAGTGAGTGAGCCAGTCGCTGTGCTTGGGGCTAACGATAAGGCTTAGGAAGTTGTCAGAGTTCAAATCGAGCGATTCGCTAGCGTCCGCGGTCGCGTTGCGGTACCAGCCAATCGCTCAAGTCGCAAAGTCTGACATCGGAGGGAGAGAGAGATTCTGGGGGATAATGTGAGCAATTTGTGTTCTCCCTCGTTTCTGCCCTCCGTTGGGCTTCGTCTTAC